GAAGGTTTTTCCATTTGAAGCTTGGAAGTAGGAGATATGGCCATATGCTTGAAATGACCTATAATGTCCAAATGACCAAAATACCCTTCGCTTGCCAAAGTCATAAGTAGAGCTCCACAAATCATATGAAGGCATACTATACCTTTCTAGAAAGCTAAGATCATGAGGAACAACTTTCATGTTGGCCAGAAATCCATTTGAAAGCTCCTTGAGGGGTAAAAGTTGCTTAGAAGTCAAGTAACTTTCACAGACAAATTTCAATGTCCTCAGATGACCTGTAACTTGCAAGAACCATAACTTGAGTTCTATAAATCTACTTGATGTCTTCCACCACTAAAATTAAAGGTCTTGAGATACTCTACAAGTTTCATGTTGGCCAAAGATCCATTTGAGACTTGTATTTTGAATTATCTTGCTTGGAAGTTTAACCTAAATCAGGAGATTTTACACAGAAAACCCTAATTTAGAAACTTCTCTTCTTCTTGATTTCTTTTGATTTCTCCTTGGCACAACATCACATCCATATCCACACATCAAATAATGAATCCCACATTCTTCAAATAGGCCTTGATGCCTTTCAATCAAGCATTTGACCTAGGATTGACCCAGATGAAACCCTAGTTGACTGTCTTCAACTGTAGCTCTTGTAATCACACCAATGACTTGCTTCACTCTCAAAATGACCCTCTTGGTCTTCCATGATGTCTATGCACATTCCATGCTCTCAATTCATAGCTCACAACTCCTTGGATGATCTTCAAATACCCTCAAGATAGGAGAGACCCACTGGTTGACCTACTAACTTTTCAAAGCTTCAACTTCTTTCTTGGATACCTGAACAATCTTAAACTTGAATAATACCCTCTTGATAGGCTCATAGAGATAAGAATGGCACTTGGTCCCTTGTTGGATGGCTTGCTCATGCTATGCTATGCAAATGAATGAACTATGTACATGCTCTAGTATGCAAATGATAAAGCCATGAAACATAAGATCAGGTGAAATAAGTTGGTCAAATTTTAGGGTGCAACACATAGTTCTTGCACTTAATATGGACAAATTTAGAAACTCATATGAAAAGAGCATGGGCATGAACGTCTCAGAAATTAAATTTCTCTTAATAACTTGAATTCCAAATTGTGTCAAAAATTTCTCCAACACCCCTTGATGACTTGCAAAAGATTTAGAAACGAACTCTTAAATCACACAGTTGGGCTTGAGTAGATTAATAACTTTGAATGTGGCCACAAAGACGTCCTTGAAAACAACCAACAATATTCTGAACATTCAGATTAACAACCTGTCTGGTTGAGCATATCCCTCTCTTATATCCACGGGAATTAAAACCACGTGCAAAAGCTAGAAGCGCACCTAAAACCTTCATGACTTTAAACTCTCTACAGCAAACATGTCTTCACAAAACAAAACAGACAAATTGGTTAAAACGGTTAGTTATGCATAAATGATTGACTTAGATGACATGCACAAAAAAATGCACAAGGAGGTGGGATCTTAAGGTCAAAAACTAGGGTGCTACAATTATATAGACCATTGTTTGATTAAATTTGATGGTGGGAGATAAGTTGGAAAATAATATTTCTTGTCTTGTGCTTGGCCGAGGTCTCACATGTTATTCGCTTGTTATCTGCGCCTTCCATGTTAGGTTCCATGTGTTGCTCCTTTTGGAGTTACTACATTATGCAAAATAACATGGTATGTTCAAGCTGTTATTATGAAGATAGGACACATGTGGGACATGATATTCTAGCAGGTGTGACACATCTGATCCCTGCTGCTGCTATTACATTGATGCATTTTTTCTATTTATATTCTGAGAGCATTTTTGGATTTGTTTCTGATTAATTTGTTGTTATCCTTTAGCAACCTAGTTAATTAGATTTCTTTGATGATTTATTATGATCAAATTTAAAGATTTTAATATTTAAATTTGAACTCAAATAAAATCAAATCTTATTGTGGAACTATTTTGGAAAAATAAATCTTAACAAAATCTCCACTTTGTCTACTGATCAAATCTTTTACCTATTGGAGAAAAGCCCTACAGAGGGATTCTATTTAACGACAAACAATTCCCTAGATGACGAGTAAGTATTAAAGATTCCTAGTGTTAAAGGTTGTATTTGAGTCCTTTGTTTGTGTTGCTTGTACAACACGCTAATGCCCTCATTCATATCATAAGGCATAATGTTAGTTTGTTTAAATTCAACAATATTTAAGTTATTTATTGAAGGTGATCACTTGGGACTAGTGAACGAGAGAAAGTGAGAGGGATTCTCATATTTAAGGGGATACCTAAATAGAAAGTCAATAGGATTCAGAAGAGGCATTGAACAACATGTGATTGTTGTTCCTATAAGACTAATTGTACTAATTCAAGATAGTGAATTTCCTTTCTTGTGTAGAGTTTCCCCAGACGTAGGTGTGGTTTCATAAAACTGGATTAATAATTCTCGGTGTCCTTTTATTTCTTTTTGGATTGATCATCCTGTCTATCATTATTTGTCAATTCTAATTCATGATGTTGAACACATTGACTTAAGCATCTGGTCCAATATCTGCCTCCTTAAGAAAATAATTTCAATTGACATAAAAGCAAGCATGCTGTTCTGTTTGGGTTATCTCTAGGAAGAATATTTTCTTTCTAAATGGACAACATGAAGGATGGATGACCTGTCGATAGACCACCTATTTTATATGACACTAATTATGATTATTGGAAAGTCAATATGGTTAATTTTCTTAACTCTATGGACAAAAAAACATGGAAAGTTACGATAAAAGGTTAGAAATACCCTATGATTATTTCTCAAGATGGAACATCAAGCTTAAAGTCAGAAGCTGAATGGACTGATGCAGAGGATAATAAAGTTCTTGGAAACTCCAAAGCTTTAAATGCTATTTTAAATGGTGTTGACAAGAATATGCTTAGATTGATCAACACATGTATTGAAGCCAAAAATGCTCCAGAGTTTCTCAAAACTACACATGAAGACACATCAAAGGTTAGAATGTCAAGGTTGTACCTCCTCACTACAAATTTTGAGAATCTGATAATGAATGAAGATGAATCCATCTATGATTTGAACATCAAATTGTTTGAATTGCCAACACTTCTTTTACATTAGAAGAGAAGAAGTCTGAAGAAAAGTTGGCAAAAAAAAATCCTATGATCTCTTCCAAAGAAGTTTGATATGATGGTCACACCTATTGAAGAAGTCCAAGACCTTAGCAACATCAAATTTGATGAACTCATTGGTTCTATATAAATATTTAAGATGACTTTAAGTAACAAGTCTGAAAAGAAGAACAAAAGTATAACTTTTGTTTCTAACACTGAAGAGGTTGAAGATCAAAGTGAAAGTCAAGAAAGTCTATTAGATGCAATAATTCTTCTTGGTAGAAAGGTTGATAACTCCTTGAAGCAACTGTACATAAAATGAAGGACAACTGTCTCAGACAAGGTGTTTGACATTAGTCCCCTGAGCAAAGGCAAAAGACTGCAATGATATTGTGAAGGGTTTGACCCATTATCAATCACTTGGTATGAATTTGATGATGAGAGTGAAGAATATACAACTAATAAGGTAATGGCTTTCACTAGAAAATATGATTGTTGTAGTGAGTTTAGTGATGAAGATATCTTAGCTGAAACAATAAAGAATTGGTTATTGAGTGGAAGGAATCTTGCTTGAGATAAGAGAAACAAAAGAAGACCACAAGTACTCTTCTTCTGAAAAAAGAGAAGCTTAACTTAATCATTGCAAGTCTTGAAGAAGAAGTCATGTTGTTAAAGTCCAAACTTGACAATATGACAAAGTATGTACGTATGTTGAACAATGGTTCTGATATGTTATATGAGGTCTTGGAGATTAGGGAGAAGAAGACTATATGTTTGACTACAATTTAATGAACAAAAATGTCAAAATTTCCACCAAGAAGTTTGTTGCTCCTTAAAAGAAAATTGAGTTTCTGATGAAGAACCACATGTCCCAGCATCCTGCTCAACGTGTGTACCCTCACAATAAAGGCAACAAGAAATCATCTAGAATATGTCACCACTGTGGTATATATGGCCATATAATACCATTTTTATGGTTATCCTCAACCTCATAGTCATATTTGTCACTACAGATAAAGAAAAGGAAGAAAACTCAAGCAAAAAAAAGTGTGAAAGCTCAAGGAATCAGTCACTTGTCTTATAACTCATACATATATTAGAGTTTCCTCTAGAGAAGATTGATATTTTGACAGTAGATATTCAAGGCACATGACTATTGAAAAGAGCTATCTTAAAGATTTAAAGCCCTAATCAAATAGTTATGTTACCTTTGGTGATAGAGCTAGAGGAATAATCAAAGGCATATGCAAATTGATTACTCCAAGTTTACCTTATCTTAATGATGTGTTGTTAGTAGAAGGATTAATTGCTAACTTGACCAGCATAAATCAACTATGTTATCAAGGTCTCAATGTTAACTACAACAAGTCTAAATGTATTGTCTTTAACAAAGACAAAAAGGTGTTATTATTATGATTTCATTTAAAAAATACATTAAATTAAATTATATTAATTTATTGTGTCAAACAATTATATGGCATATAAATTATATTTTTAACGACAAATTTTAATTATTCATTTACTAACATGAAAATAACAATGTGATATTAAAAAACAACAATAAACTTTTTGGATATTTACCACTTGTCATAAATGGTAAATATATATTTAAGTTGAAAAGTAGTATAATTAAATTAAACATTTACATGACTCATCTAGACCATCCATAACAGCCACAATCCAACGGCAATGATGTCAATCCGCGTCATTCAATCTAATTGGTTCACTCTGTTCCCATCTTACAATATAAAAACCTCGCTTCTTTCTCCACCTCTTCCATACTCTGAATATACTTCCGCAATCGTTCTCGGATCCAAACTTTCTTTAATCTTCAAATCTCTGAAACTTTATCAATCAATCAATGGCCGGAAGAGGGAAGACCCTAGGTTCTAGTGGTGCTGCCAAGAAGGCTACCTCAAGGAGCAGCAAGGCTGGCCTTCAATTCCCCGTCGGCCGTATCGCCCGTTTTCTCAAGGCCGGCAAGTACGCCGAACGTGTTGGTGCCGGTGCTCCTGTGTATCTCGCCGCCGTCCTTGAATATCTCGCTGCCGAGGTAATTTTCCATTCATATCTCTCTTTCACATTAAAATTCTCTATTCATACATCTGGATCTAGGTTTTCAAGTTTTCGTTAGGTTTTCTTCAATTTAATTTATCGATCCACCGGTTGTGTTTAGGTTTTGTTGAATTGAATTGATTGAAGATTTGGACTTAATTTTTTGTGATTTGTGATTAGGTTTTGGAATTGGCTGGAAATGCTGCAAGGGACAACAAGAAGACTAGAATTGTGCCAAGGCATATTCAATTGGCTGTTAGGAACGATGAAGAATTGAGCAAGCTTCTCGGTGATGTTACCATTGCTAACGGCGGTGTTATGCCCAATATTCACAACCTCTTGCTCCCAAAGAAAGCCGGTACCTCCAAGGGTGCTGCTGCTGATGAAGAATGATTCATGGATGGAACTTGAGTTTTGAAGAACCGTTTCTAAATTAAGTTATTTAATTGTATCTGGTTTTTGAATACAAAAACTGATCTTGAAATTTGTAGTTCTAGTTAGGGTTTTAGTTTATGATGTGGATATATTTATCATCTAATGCTCTTCCTAATGAAGAAGTTAATTGAAAATTCATATAATTTCTCATATTTAATGTCATCCATTCTCAGTATCAGTTGATTTCTGATATATTTATTCTTTATATTTCATCATTGACATTGATAAATTATAATCCAGAAGGAATGCTGTTCTTGCAATAAGAATCTTCATTTTTTTTAAAATGGTGTTATAATTTGTGTCTTTTCAATTTTCAATACTGTTTTTTGTTTATTATTGTTAATGTTTGAATTTGGAATGATATTTTGGATTTAGTTATGTTAATTTTATTGTTAAAATGTCTTCTGATGCCATTGTGATGAGATCAACCATATGAAAAATCTAATTCCTTCAAGAGCTTTAGTTTTTCAAATCAGACCACAGCTACCATTTTCACTAATGTTATTATATAATCCGGGATTGACTACTATGTGTATGTGTCACTTATTCACTATATAGTTCCTATTCAAGTATATGTACATTTTAAAGAGCATTAATGCTACGTGACTTCATTCATAAAAGATTAGATACACACAATCTAACCATCTTTCTGCAAAAAGAAATCTAACTAAACCATGACTTTACATACATTCAAGAATAATTGATCAACAACACAATCACCCCGTCCAAAAATTTGACAAGCAAGCAATCAATTAGTCATGTCTCTAACAATTCTATACAGTAAGTAATGACATGACAACAGAAAAATAGAAACAAAAATTGTTACAACACAGTTTCCAACTTGTTTCAAACCTATGGACTGTCTTCATCTGAACTAAAATCATCCACTCTCCTCTCCACCACAGCCGGAAACAACCGCTGACGAATATCCGGAGGTGGAGGACGAGTAGGACGAGTTTCCCGCGTTGACGACCCTTTAGAATTAGCTTTAGTTGTATCTTGTTTCACATTAGAATTAGCATTAGTTGTATCTTGTTTCACATTCTTAGAATTAGCTTTAGTTGTATCTTGTTTCACATTAGAATTAGCATTAGTTGTATCTTGTTTCACATTCTTTATCGGCTTCTTTGGTGCTTTTTGAATCTCTCTGCACACCTTATCCAACATTATTAAGAAATCGCGAACTATTACAAACAATCTCAGCCCTTCATCTCTCCCTGTACTCCCATGAAAGTAATCACCAGTACTCTTCACAAGAGCCATGATTTTCTTCTCCTCTTCTAACAAATTTGTGACATCAACCTCGGCTTTCTCCACAAAACACTTAAGTGTCTTATGGAACCCTTTATCGTTTTCTAAGTTGTTCACCAGTTCTTTGTTGAAGAAATCTCTTGTTTTTATAAGACCATAGCCTAATCTAGCTGTTGTGCTTGTCAAGCCATCCGCATCTAATGCTGCCGCTTTCCTCACATTCTCAAGATCACTGCTCAAATGTGAAACAACTTGGAGACCTATTTCGCGGTAGTGTTCTTCCGATTCATGATTAATATCTTCCAGAAGGTCATCGGTTTTTATACTAGAGAAACTGCCGCTCTCTTTCACCATTCGAGCTGCTCTTATTCCTTCTGTTCGCATTATCTCTTGGACAACAAAGTGTAAGAGGGTGATTTTCCCATCTACTCCTTTTACATCAGATAATTTTAGTAGCGTGTCAAGTTTGAATGCAAGTGCACCTCCGCGGAATGTTCCGTCGTTCATTCGGTTTCCTGTTTTAAGAACAGCTTCAAGAAGCTTGAGGAATAATCTACTGCTCCTCAGTTCCTTACAAGCAACCTGGTTTGATATGAAGAAATGAATCAATTTGGTTTTCATTTTGATAAAGAAAGAAAGAAGAATTAAACAAAAACACATATACCATACACGAATACTGACACTGACACGTAAACACTTAAACAAAATGGCGGTCATTGAATGTAACTACATGCATCAATGTCGTGCTTGTGTGAGACGACAAACAATTGTTGGACACCATACATGTTTCAATATGAAGTGTCGGAGCTTGGCAGTCATGGTCATCATATAAGATAAATGCTAAAAGTATAAGCAGTGCATCTTATGAGGGATCAAATTTAGAGATTCTACCTCTAAAATTGAGAAAGAATCCCGAGTAGAGGTGAGTTCCTCTTGAAGAGTACTCATGTAAAGCAATGCTTCCATTCGTTTAACAGCAAATGGAATCTCAACCAGAGATTTAAGGAACCGATCTGCAGGACCAAGTTGAGAAGCACTACCACTGAAAAGTCTAAGCTTAAGTTCTTCCTCTTGTGTTGGTGCCATCTTTATCAGCGTGTGAAGAAATTCTATCGGGAGCTCATTTCCTGATCAACCAAAAACATATTCAAAGCTATCATACATGTGGAATCAGAGACAATAAACTAGATACAATTTATTGATACATTATTGTTACATATTAAAACAGTAATCAGTGTTATATGCAGTTCTAGAAGAAAAGTCAAGGAACGGAAAAAACAGAACCTTCAAGTAGTGCATCACTGACTTCTTCTAGTGTCACATTTAATGCTTTCAACAGAATTGATAAATTTTGTGCTTTCTTTGACTCAATGATTTGGATAAACTGAGGTGGAGCATCACGGATGGACTCTTTCTTCTGTCCAGCTTTTTTCTCCATTGATGGAGTACTATATCCAAAAAGCGTTTCCATCATTTCTTCATTAAACCTGTCAAAAATTCATCATCAACAATAATATCAGCAATGTTAAATTACTCACTGGAAGGACAAGTCCATGAGGCGTCAATTCAGTAGTAATAATTTGATCTTATAATCTTAAGCGATGGTGTTCAAACCTCTTCAGAGACAGTTGTAAAATGACTTTTAGTACTATAATTAAAAAAGAAGCGATTCAGCACTCACTGGAATGATCCTGCTTTGAGTTGATTCCAAACCATAGTTTGATCTGAGTTGGCTTGAACCTTATCCCAGAAAAAAGGCTTTAACTTGGTTTTAGGAGCAGCATCATCAGCTTCACCTTCACCTTCTAAACTAACTTCAAATTTCCCTTGAACATTTGGTCCACTTCGTACATGTCTGGGACCTTTTTGACCAAATGGAGGTGGAGCTTTTGGAGGACCCCCACCACCCTTGGGAGGTGGTGGTGGTCGAGGACCGCCTGGTTTTCCACGTGGTGGTGGTGGTGGAGGAGGCTTAGGACCACTATTGCCAAGTTTCGGCGGTGGGGGTGGAGGAGGGCCACCACCGCCAGGCTTCGGTAGTCCGGGAGGAAGAACAGCGCCACTGCTAGGCATTTGAAGTCTAGGGGGAGGAGGTGGCGGCGGCGGATTAACGGCATAATCAAAACTCTTAACTAATGGTGGTTCGGGTGGAAGAGCATCTGGTCTTCCTGGAGGAGGTTTCAAAGGTGGAATTCCACTTCCTACCCTACCAGGTGGAGGTTTAAGGTCAAATGATGGTCTTGCAGCATCTTCTTTTATCGAGTTCTTTTTCTCATCGGCCAAAATACTTCTCATTGATTGAACTCCAAGTTTCTCCTCATTTATTGAAATTTTTGAGGAGTTATTATTTGAAGAAGAACCTGTAATTAAGATTGATGTACATCATGTCAAGACTAGTATATCCTCATATTCTTAATTGCAGTTTCAGTCCCTCTAGTTAGCCGTATTTACAATTTTGGTCCCTCTAGTTTTAAATCAACAAATTTATTCCCACACTTATTAAAATGAGACATTTTCCACACCTATACATTTCTGGTTGATTTTTGATGATTTGGCAAGTGAGGTACTCGTAGCAAAACCCCGGGGTCTAAAATCGTGGATTTAGAAGTAGGGGACCAAAATTGTGAACGAGGAAAAATAGAAGAATTGAAATTGCATTTAAATTTATACCATATTAACAAGGTGTGTGAGAATGAAATTGTTTTGCTATGTACCAACAGAGTAATCACTCCTGCTCATGCTGAGAAGCGGCCTTTCATCAGTTTGATTAACTTTACCACTTCCACAACAACATAAAAAGATACATGCTGCAAGTAAAAATGTCACCATTGCAGCCAAAGCCATGGCATTATAAGCCGCTTTCTCGTGTTTACTTTTAGAGTCAGAAGACTTCGACGATTTCTTCTTCGAAGATTTATCAGAATCACTATTACTTTTATCTTTTTTAGATGATCCATCATCGCCACCATCTTTGTCTTGTTTTTCTGCTAAGTATCGAGGCGAAACTCGACGCGGATATCTTGTGGATAAACCCTCCTGGTAAGCAGTGTTCCAATTCTTGGATTGATCTTGTAATGGAACGTTGTTTTTTCTCAAACAGTTAAGAAAACTTTCCTTCAACCGTGGATTGCAAGTATTAATCAAATTTAGGATGTTTTGTCTTGTAGTTGATCTGAATTCTGTGGTAACTTCATTGGTTCTACTATGTGATTCCCTTGGTAGGCATAAGCCAATATCTCCAATATCTTCCCTTACATGAATCAAATCTTCCATGCAAGTGATCCATAAAATCTCTGCCTGCAGTCATGAAACTATAACCAGTTTTAGAGTCCGTTCATCTAAAAAACGTTAAAGCTTAGTGGACGCAGGTTCACATCATGTGAAAATTTATTGAACTATACATATTTATTGAAAATTTAGTTGAGATCTGGTTGAAGTTGAAGCATCAATATGCTCTTAAATCACAAAATCTTTCTTGATCAATTTAGTGCCTAATTTGGCACACAACATTATAAAAGTACTCAACAAAACCATATTAAATTATTCATATGAAAACATTGCAAATATATGACCGTGGCCAATCCTCAAGAAACCTGAAGGAAATGAAATGTTAGATTCCCACATTATATTAGCGACATCTTTCATCTTACAAGCCAACATTGTAGAGTTGAGCCAGGTTCAACCTAAATTTTTGAGATAGTGTTAGAACATATCAAAGTTCCATCAGATCACTGCCCATTGTCAAACCACACGGGTCACATCCAAATGTCAAGTTATGCATCTCCGAATTTGGATTAGGCGTAACTCATTCCTACAAAACCGACCGGTAAGATGAGGATTGTCCCCACTTATAAACATAAAACATGCCATATCACTAACCAATGTGAGACTAAATCCACTCCTTCAAACCCAACACAATGAAGGTGTTGGAGGCTGCAATGAAGGCAAGCCAAATGCCGCAATTAAAACGACTAGAGGCGGACCGCAATCAACGCATGTGAAGGGGTGTATAATAAGATACATGAGACTTCCCTCACCGTACAAGCTGATTTTGTAGGGTTGAGTTGAGTCATACTCAACTTAAATTATAAGACAAAGAGTATCAAACAAGAGGCTACTATAATCTATAATGCACTTTTGTATCACTAGTATGTTACAAATTACAATGGCATGTTCACTTTAATTTGCCTCAAATATTTATGTTGAGGATATTAAAACAATGAAAGTTTATGAACTTAAAAAGATATCTAATTGCAAATAACTAGTGAAGTGAGTCTCACCGTATCCTCATCCAATAATCCAGAGGCGGGATCAAATAATCTGGTAATAAATTCTTCTGTTTCCTGGTTTTCTTTAATGCTGATAGCTGCTACAATATTGAGAACCAAAACAATGCAAAATATAGAATTTATGACACCCATATATCGTTGAATCATTACCATTGTGCTTCATTTGCTTCTTGCAACAACATCAAGACCCTTAAAATGCCTACATTGTCTTCATCAACCCAAAAGCTATCATTTTTCATTATCACTTTCTTGAAGGCACAACAAATACAAAACAAAATAAAATCACCGACCCATTTTCCAAAATTGCAAATTTATCATTGAATTGGATGATAATGTAATAGAAACTAATAATTGTTAGAATAATAAATTAAAAACCAACCTGAAAATTTCAAATGTGAATGCAAAGGGTTCACAAAAAAGGGTCTTTTTTGGTGTGTTTAAGGATTGTTTGATGATGATGATGGGAAAATTGTTGGCGCAAGAACCCTATGATGCAAAGGGCCGTCCTATGAATTGTTGAGGATTATTAGGAATTAGGACATTGGCGCCTACTCAGGAACACAGATTTTTCTTTTTAAGCTTTTCTCTCTCTCTTTCTCTCTTTTTCTTTTTTTTTTTTCTGCAATTTTTTTTTCTTGCTTGAAATTTTCTAATTTTTACTTGAAAATTTATGAACCGTAGCATTTTGAATTTGAGGTTCTTTATCATTATTCATTAACTCTATCTTTGGGTATCCCACTCACTCATAAACATAATGATGAAATCATTATTCATTAAGATTTATTAAATTACTTTGTAATCACAAATCTCCATTATTTATCTCCCATTTGGAGATATATATCTCATATGGATTATTTTATTTTATTTTAAAATGAAGATAGAAACATATTTTCTATTTGTGAAATTTTCTTTGTAAAAAAATGACAACTTAATTGAACAGGCTTGTTGAAAAAAAATACTAAATAGTATTTGAAACTTTAATACAAAAAGATAAATAATATAAGTTGTTATATTTTAGTATAAAAAAAGTTGATTGGTATCGATCTCAAAAGAATATTTTTTTATGGCACAACATGTATCATTTCTTTTTTGTTTTTGGGCACATTCATAGGAGCGAATTTGAGGAGGAAAATTATGTGGCAACCGATATTGAAAAAACATAGGCGAAAGTTATCTATATGGAAGGGCAAATATCTCTCTTTAGAAGAGTGTGTGATACTGATTAATTTGGTGTTGAATTCAATTTTGATTTACATGTTTTTCTTTTACAAGACGTTTAAAAGTGTGATTCAAGAGATTATTCGAATTCAACGGAATTTTCTTTGGGGTGGTTGTTCGGAGTCAAAGAAAATGGCATGGATTAGTTGGTTATCTGTTTGCAAACCAAAGCGAGAAGGTAGATTGAGCATCAAACATTGTAAAACGTTTAATTTCTCACTGTTATGTAGTGGAAGTGGAGAATATTGGTTGAATTGAGAGCTATTTGGTCAAACATTCTTGGAAAAGAAGATGTCCTAGAAGATTTGATCTGATTATGGCCGTTGTGAATACTTCAACGACTATATTTCTTCAGCTATATAAAAGGAGCAGAAGATTGAAAGATCAACTCAAGAAATAATGCTACAACAGCCACTGAGATACATAGGCATTTCATTCAGCTCAAAAGAGGCTAATCTGTTAAAGTGTTCTTATTCTTGTATAGTTTAAGAATTCTTTGTGTAAAAATGTGTTGTATAATATTTGAACACCTCTGATTATTAATCAAGTGTTGTTATAAGTTATTCTTTCTCTAAATAGTCAGTTTAGATATAAGCCTCTTGCCGCGGGTTTGAGCAGTGAAGTATTAGATTGTAGGTCTGGGCAGAGAAATCTTAGGCAGAGTGTATGAGCAAGGAAGTCTTGAACCAGGTCGGTTTAAGCAAGGGAAATCTTAGGATATGAGGATCTAAGCAGAAAAGTCTTGATCCGGTGCTGATTTAGCAAGAAATCTTAGACTGTGGTTTTGAGCAGGGAAAGTCTTATACTTGTGAGTATACGCAGTTGTAATCAAGTTAATTATAGTGGAAGTATCTTGCTTGGCAAGGGGACTTAAGTACTTTCAGTTGGAGATGAATCAGGATAATTATTGTGTGTTCTTTGCTGTTTTTATTTGCTTCTATTACATTTTCTGCTGCACTTATCATCATATTCTAAACTCCGGTTTAGAATCTGAACTTTGATTCAGAAGTAAAAAATAATTTCACAAAACACAATTCAACCCCTTCTTCTTGTGTATTTTTCTCACCTTCAGTTGGCATCAAAGCAAGGTTTGTACGTAACACTTAACAATAGTACAGTCAAAGGTCCAACGAGAAAAATATGGCTAATAAGGATACTAATCCCAGTTCCTCAGCAAGGGGATTTCTCTATGATTACAGTAGTTCTGAGAGAAATCATTATTATGCTAAATCTCCTGTATTTAGTGGTGACTCCATTGAGTTTGAATGGTGGAAAAACAAGATGTACACGTATATCATTGGACTCGGTGATGAGTTATGGGATATACTTGAAGATGACACTGAAGTTACTGTTGACAGTTTTGGTATGGTATCTAACATGAAAACTCTGACTTCAACTTAAAAGAAAATCTATAGAAAACATCATAAAGTCAGAGGTATTCTGGTTGATGCTTTACCACACCCTGAGTACTTGAAAATCATTGATAAGCCTTCTACAAAAACTATCTTTGAATCTTTGTGCTCTACTTATGAAGGGAATTAGCAAGTTAGAGAAGCCAAAGCTAGCTTGCTGGTGCAAAAATACGAGCTGTTCAAAATGAAGGATGATGAAGATATTAAAACTATGTTCTCTAAGTTTCAGACTCTTGTGTCAGGACTTCAAGTGCTAAATAAAAGTTACTCCACATCAGATCATGTTAAAAAGATTCTGTGAAGTCTTCCTGCAAAGTTTAGACCTAAAGTTACAACTATTCAAGAAGATAAGGACCTAAATATGCTGTCTCTTGAAAGTATAATAAACAATCTTCAGAGTCAAGAGATGGAACTGAATGGAGATGAGTCCTCAAAGAAACTTAAATCTCTTGCTTTAAGATCTGCTTCTGAAAAGGTTATGGATAAGCCCAAAAGACTTGTAAGAATAGTAAATCTAATGAAACTTCTGAAGAAGATTTTGACGGTAGATCTGATGATGATGATATGACTTTCTTCAGAAAATCTAATGAATACAAGGTCTACTAAAACTGCAATAAACCTGGTCATTTCAGAAGTGATTATCCTAATCTTCAAAAGGACAATCAGAATAAAGAAGTCATCAGAAGGACACCTTTAGAGACAAGGTTCAAGAAGAGTTTTATAGCAACTTGGGAATAATTGGATGATGAAGATTTAGAAAAGGAAGATGAGCCAATCTTGCATTGATGGCACACTCATATGATGAAAGGCACTTATCAAAATATGAAGATGAATATGAGGTATACTCTTACTCTAACTTTATTTCATGCGCTAATAATCTTATAGATTATTGCAAGGATCAAGCCAGTTGTTCGAACTGTAAGATACTAGAGTTTTTTTTTGTTATCTTCTCCACATGGATTGTTCTGATATGGGATGTTTGTCGTTCAATAGTTTACCATTTCAAGAAAAGGGTTTTCAAAGTTTGTTTCATATATTGTCACGATTTAGTAGCAAAGCTTTTAAATTCTAAAGTGAGGTATATCAAAAGTAGTTTTCATCTACCCTAACTAATACGTATTCTCTTAATCTTGCATGTGAAGTCGAATCTAATTAATATCATCCCGTATTCTCTCAATACCATCTATGTATAGAGCGGTGTCATGAGAAATACCATATTCTGTTAGAACACAAATTGGTTCTTAATATATCTCAATGTTTTGATGATAACAATAATGAAATTTTGTATGGAGAAAATATATACTCTAATTTTGTTAAAGTGTTTTTGTTTTAGATAACATAATAAATATTCCTCTGAACGAAATATTCCTCTGAAGGTTAAGCTACAACTGCAGAAGACTCTGAGCGTTTGGTAAAAAGCGAAGCTACAGAAGACTCTGAGCGTTTGGTAAAAAGCAAAGCTACAGAAGACTTTGAGCGTTTGATAAAAAATGAAGCTACAGAAGGCTCTGAGCGTAGAGTATAAAGCAAAGATTCAGAAAACTCTGAGCGTACTAAACTCAATGCTGCAACTACAGAGGCTCTGAGAATCAAAACACGTAAGGCTCTGAAACGTTAGTAACAAAGTGATACATTTGGATAACACGTAAGAGCGAAGATTTGCTCTGATCTAAAGCGCTTCTCTGGATGAACAGTTTGTTAAAATAATCACGCTAACACTAAGCTGCAGAACTCTGGAAGATAGTTACTCTGATAAGAAGAAAATGGAATATCATCAGAACTCTAGAAGAGATTTACTCTGATAATAAGAAAATGGAACATCATTAGAACTCTGGAAGAGAGTTACTCTGATAAGAAGAAAATGGAACATCATCAGAACTCTGGAAGAGAGTCACTCTGATAAGAAGAAAATGGAACATCATCAGAGGATCTGATGCAAGAAATATTTCCACATTCGTTCATTTAAAAAGATACTGATCAAGATAGATCCGTTGCCAAACTCATTGTCTACATCCAACGGTACTATTCCTCTTTTGTGTATGGGACAAGATTTCAGAACAAAAAGGATATCTCTAAACATTCCTCTTTTGTGTATGTGCACGCTATTTGAGAAATGAGTGTGAAGTATTAAAACAAGTCTTCAACAACAATTCAAATTAGAGTAAAAGAACATCATTCTACAATGAACATACTCTTTGCTGAAAAAGAAAATAGAAAATTCATTGATCTTCATTTTGTGTAAAATCACTATTGTGAAAAAGCTTTTCTAAGAAGCACTTAAGCACACTTTATTGTATTACTTTGTAAAAGATCCTTGAGAGACCAAGTTATGGTAAGTATTCTTGAGAAGACTAAGACAAGTTTCTCTTAGTGAAAAGATTGTAATCAGTTTTTGATTATTGGATTAAGTCCTCTTTTGAAAGAGGCGTAATCACCTTGGCCGGGCGGACTGGAGTAGTTTGAGTTTAAACGAACCAGTATAAAAATACCTGTTATTTTTATTGCCTTATTTGTTTTTGAAAA